CTTGACATGAAATCTAGTGACCTTATAATCATAACAAGTATCAATTATTGGAACAATTCTTCTTTTGGTCTTAAAATTCACCAAGACACTTGTGTATTCATCTAAAAAAATCGATAATTACAAAAAAAAAAACTCTATTTTTAGCATATGGGATAAAGAATTTGATGAATGTAATAGAAGTTTTAAAAAAATTTGTGTTTATGACTTTATCTATATTTTCATTCTTGAAATATGGTAGTTATAAAAGATTGCCTTACGAGCTCTAAACCTGAATTTTTGTTTTTAACAGCAAGATATTGAGACGATCGCAATGTTATAAAAATATTCTTTTCGAAATATTGAATAACCAATGTTAAATCTCACTGGAGCATATTTAAAATTGACTTTTCTTTAATATTCAATCTCTCGTAAAGAAAATATCTTTTTTTTTTAACTAAAAGTTTTAAAACACTTTTATCACTTTGAAATTTCTCGATGAACAGGCAAGGATTGGCGGAATGTCAATGCGTTCGTTTCTCGAGAATTAGAACAATATGTAGGCCTCCTCCCCCCCCCCCCCCCCCCCCCCCCCCCCCCCCCCCCCCAGAACATCATGTTTGTAGAATTCTGTTCTGTTCTACATGTCTCCAGCTAGTCGTTTGTCGATGATCTATCAATTCTGCTCATATATCAAGATGGTTTTACTCTGCAAACCATCGCTCATGACTCATATTATCGTTGCTCATACTTTTATGTTTAGGCTTTGCTTTAATTACTTTTTATTCTACATAAGTTACTTGTAATCAGCACTATGTTTCTTTAGGTCCTATCATGAGTAGAGGGTTAAATAAATCGCATTGATTTCAAATTTCTCGATAAACAAAGTATGAAATCAATAATTTGTAAAACATTTGTTTTTTTTACATTTACGGTACTCAATCAAGAAAAATTTAGTAAAATCATCTTAAATTTAGATAGTTATGACGTAATCTCATTAAGTTCTATTCGTGGAAAAAGAAAAAACAAACATGCGTTCGACGCTATATTACACTTAAAAGCACTTCATGACAAGATAACCGTTGGCTTTTGGACTTTTTGAAATAATTATTTGACGACAGGATAATATTCGTCGAGAAGCAAAGGAATATATATCTATCTTTTTGAAAGCTACAATAATTATGTTTATTTATTTTGAGTTATTTGAAAATAATTTTATTCTATAAAAAAAAGCAAAAGATAAGCATTGATATTAGCATATTCTCAAATGATAATCAATATTCATTTGTCCTATTTACTGATAGAATGACAGAATAAATAATCTATCTCATGGAAAGATAATTTCATTTCTCATTATCTTCTAATCTATTTATTTTTAGAACATTATCAATCATCAACGTTTTTCAAGCTATTCTTCTATCTAAGCGCTATACAAAAAACAAAGAAATGTTGATATGATCGGTTTTTTTTTTTTGGTTTCTTTTTTTTTTGCAATTAGATTTAAGAATAAATAAAGATTGATTCAATACGTATTTTAATTGAAATCCGGTATTAGAAAAAAAAAAGAACACAATTCTTTCATTATTAGAATTATAGCTAAAAATACGTTATTAAGTATTACTTGATGAACACACTTTACAATCGTTGTGCTTTGTTGGAATTATTAAACGATAGCATTTTTGCTATGATAAGCAATTTTTTTTTTTTTTTTTTTTGTTAAAAATTTTAATATTTTGTTCAATCTTATTATTTTCAATTTACATATTACTTATTTGAAATAATCTTTTCAAATTCTAGACATACATATCTCTATCATTTTATTCAATATTTTTTCTTTCTTTCTTTTTTTATTACTAAAATTTAACTCACGTATCTTTTTAAAAAAAAAATAAAATAAAATATATGTCATAAACAATTGTTTAATAAATATAATTTCATATTCAATATTAAGTTATATGGTTAAAAATTAAAGTTAGTTATAATTTCTTTCAACATATATTAACGTATGAGTTGATCAAAATAAATTTTTCTTTGTCATATCTGTAATATTATTAGCTGTATTTGATGAACATCGATGAATGCTATTAGTTGATTTTCGTTTTGGTAGTATAATATTTTGTGATAATGCGCGCATTGCACCATGACGTGCATCAAAATTAGCTGGCAATGGTTGACAAAATAAAAAATATTCACTAACTTCACGAAATTTTTTATCAAAAAAAGCATAAAGAATAAATGTCGACGATGCATTTATAACTGATAGTAAATTATTGATTGCTAAATATTGTCTTGCAAGTAAATTTGTCATTAAACGATTACCTAACCATGAATAAAGTACATTAAATATAAAATATGGTAATTGTGTTACTAGAAATACAAATACAATAGATAAAAGTAAGAAGTTTATAGCATTTGATGAATGATTTTGTTTAGATGTTGTTCGTAATAAACGTTTACGTCTTCTTATTGAATATAAAGTTTTAATAATTAATATTTTACATACTAATATTATTGATAATGGTAAAAGAAAAACGAATATAAAATAAAGATATTTACGCATTAATAAACGAAATAAACGATTTGATCCAAATGGTGATATTCTTATCATTGTTCTATTATCTTCTTTAATTAATGTAAATTCAAACCAAAATGGTATACAATATATTATACTAAATAAACTAATACAAATAATAACAAATATAGCTCGTTTTGGACTACGCCATTTTTGACTACGAAATGGTAAACAAATAAGAATAAATCTATCAAGTGCAACTGCTGCTGTTAAATAGATTTGAATTAATAAACATGTTAGATGTATTGGAAATATTCGTGTAAATATCCAACCATAAAATACTTCAGCATGAAATGTTGAACGTATACCATGTGTTAATAAAAAACCAATTAAAACACATGATGATGCACATGATAAAGCAAATATATAGATATTTGTTATTGATGTTCGCATAAATCTACTAGATAATATTATACAAGTTAATGCATTACCTAATAATCCACATATGCAAACAATAGATAATAAATAACCTTCAATAATACGTTTAAATTCTGCAAGACGTTGTTCAGATAAAGCATTCGATGAAACATTCATTATTTTAGTTTAATATCTATGTACCAAAAGAAAAAGAGAAAAATGACATCAAAATAATGAAAATTTACATTTTCTTTTTAAAAAGAAAATAAATGCATGCAAAAATTTGTTTCTATTATCATACTGAAAAGCATAAAAAACTGAGTAACTTCTTTCTATCATCTCCAACTGTTATATTGTTCTATCGAAACTCACTTAAAATGTCATAAAGAATCAATTCTGAAAGATAGCTTTTTTTCTACGAGTTTATTGATACAAAATATGTTCCTTGTATTTTTGTCAACATGAACCGATTTGCAGATGTGTGTCAATCACATAAAAAAAAAAAACAAGAATTTATCAATAGTATATGTTTTTTATTCTAGAAGACTACTCGATGTAATGATCGTCATACAACTAATTTCAACTATATGAGTCTATTTCATGGTATTGAAAAGATTTCTATGCTAATATAATAAGATATGTCAGAATATGGAATTCGTTCTTTGTAACTTACTTCCTTTCAATGTATATACTATTGTGAGCTTATCCAATTGATGAAACAGGAATTGTTCGTCTTACTATTCACATCGACGTCAATAGAATGCTGTGTGCAATATTTCCATTTTTTTTTCTGCTACTATCCAACGAGATGGAATAAATGGTTTGCTTCGTCTAGAATAAGCATAGAAGGAAAACAGAGAGAAGAAAAGAGAAGAAGGAAAAAAAGGCTTTGATTACATCGTTATGCTATCAAGTATAGTATTGATGTCTTTTTGCATTCGGTCGATTTCTTTTGATTCCATTATATCGAATAGGCAAGTTGTGACGAATTCTAAATAATCCATTAGAAGTAAAACAGGAAATTATAAAAACTAATGTCAGAAAAAAAGAAGAAAAATACATCTTTTTTCTTTAAAGTTTAATAAAAATTGATATATAGTAAACTATTTATTTTATTTTAGTTTATACAAAAATTTTTTTATTGATGAATATTTTGAGATTTTTCTTCTTTGCGTTCATCTTATTGCGTGACATTTCATATATATATATATATGTATATATATAAACAACGTTAACATGAAACCAAATGTTATTTGAATAATTCGATTACCATAGTATCTAAGCCGAAGAAAATTCTTCATATACTTGCATTTTCTTAATTGATCTTAACGTATGAATGTTATATTAGTTCGTTAACTATAAAAATATTTATAATATCTTTAAAAAAAAGTTGATGACTGTCATTAATTTGTTTATCCGAAACATCAATTAATGTTTAATTTTCTCATTCGAAATGAATGAATTTACTTTTGATATTAATAAAAGTCAAACATCAAAAACAACCATTTTGTTTTCTAGAACCTCAAATATTTACTAAAAGAAAATGTTGATGTAGAAAATGATTATTGATTGTCAAATTTTAAAAACGTTTTCTCTTGATATTTCTTTTCTTTATTTTATCGTGCATATACAATGTTAAAAAACAGCTATTCACTCTCAAAAACCTTATCACATCGTCAAACAAAAAAAGAAAAAAAAACACGACAATCGATTTACAAGTATATCAATAAAAGAAAAACGTAAATATAGAGTTTCAAGGATTAAACAATAAAGATGTGTGAAAAAGTATAGTAACACAATTAATAATTGTGCTCGAGCACATTTTCTAATTCTTTGAAAAAAAAAAAGAGAACATAACAAAATAAGATAGGTAAGAAAACAAAAGTTGAAGTAATAACATGTTCTTTTTTTTTCTTTAATAATCAATTCCATACACTGGTTGATAGACATTAACCAATAATGAAAAAACAAAAACGAAGAATAAGATCGGGTCATATGTTCAAAGACAAAAAACTGAGTGACAAATGTCATCATATCACCAAAACATGTTTGACATGTGGAACAAACTTGAATGACATATTGAAATATATATTCTTCATCGTCTAAAAGAAAATAAAATCAAATTATACATTGTTTACGGAAAAACATAACATATTCTAAATTTGTTTTTTTTCGTCGCATTCAAATTTTTTTTTTCTTTCTATTTATAACATATCAAAAATGACTATTCTAATATAGTCAATTGATATAATTCGAATCATTCAAGTAGAAATTACTAGAACTTCATTTTCCTATCTTCTTACTAAGAGTAATAAGAAATTGTAATTAACCAAAAAAACAAAACAAAACTATGTATCATTTGATAGTTCAAAGTCTTTTCTATTCAATCTGAAAAGATCTTATCAATTTATTTAACTATTGAAATGTATAGTTCTTCAGATAGTTGGATCTACTTGAGATAAGGGGCCTTTTTTTTTCTCAATTAATCGATGCAATTAGAATCATTCAAGTAGTTTTTGCTGAAGAGAACTTTTCAAATAGATTCTCAATTGTTGATTATGAAAGAAAAGTTATTTGTTTCATGTTGCTTAAAAACAAAATATTAAAGAAAAAGGAATACTCTTTGATCTTTTGAACTTTATTTTATTATTATCATATATTCCACAAAAAGAAACCAATTTTGATTTGCCTTATAGACAAATGTATTGCTACTATAAAATTCTAAGATTTATTCTTATACAACTACATGACTATTAATCAAAGCATATTTCAGTTTAATAACATGCCTGATAGAATCACAAAGCCCTTAGTCTAAATATGAGATAAGCAAAATCTAGAGTAGAAAAAGATATTAGAAATAAAATAGCCTAAATACTTAAAGAAAAACCTATAATACAATAAAGACATACGTTAGAATGATTCTGTTTAATGCATGAAGCACATCATGATAGATAACCATCAAATCAAATATCATTTGACATTGTATGCAGTTGTCTATATAGGATATTATTAATCCTATAGAAAGATTCATGAATAAATTAGAGCAGAGAGAACAAATCATCTCAACGCTATGGTACACCTTCAACCACATCCACAGTCCACATTGGAAAGTAGACAAACAAATTTTCTCTCAGAATCAATACTTGAACACCTACTCGAAACATTCTGTTCAACGAAAATTATTTGAGTAATTCTAATTAGTTCATCGGACGATGAGAAAGGTGAAGTAATAAATATTTGTTTTGTATTTTGAGTGAATACGCTTGCTTTTTTGTAAAATAAAGAGCTACTACATGTAGACAAATATTTTGTAATATCAGACTTAAAACTATATCGTCCATTACAAATTTTAGTTTCACTTCTAATTTTTCGTGATTGATTTCTTGCATAGTTCACTCAGGAATGTTAATTACTTTGTTCTCAATAAAAAGATTGAATATAAATAGTTTTTCATTCTCTTCAAATACAATATACAACTAATACTGATAATAATTGTCTATCATTTTTATCATTGTCATTTTATGTATCATGATATAGATCATATCTAACTATGTTTTGATCTATCATCAATCAAATTGATGCATTATGAAAATATTCATCTAGATCTCTTTTCTTTTTATGTTTTCTATCTCTTATGGGAAAACTGTCCTTTGATCATCAACATTTTTTTTTTCATAATGAAATGATAATAAAAAAAAAAGGAAATATTTTTCATTACTAAACACATTAGTATGATATGGGTAATAAAGGGTTAATGTCTATGAGAAATAAATGGTGCATTCATAGTAGATAATGCACTTATCACAAAAATTAATTGATCGATAAGATAAAGTCAAATCATAAAAATAACTTTATTTGCTCGAAATGAACTCATTAACGGAAAATATTTATAAACGAAGACTGTAGACCTTGTCTTCACCTACCCACACTATCTTATCTATATTCGTTAAAATGTGATTATTATTTATTATACTGTCTAGGACTGTGTTAATAATAAGTTTGGTAAACAAAAATATTTCATACGTTCTCTTATTGACGAACTCTAAAAATCTTCTTTGGATAAATCTCAATCATTCTTTTTATAATCTTTAAAATTATCTATCTCAAATATGCTGCTCATAGCAATAAATAATACATATGTATATCTCTCACAAAATGTTGAATTTCATCCAAGAGATATTCAAAGATGTTAAAAGAAAAAGAAAACAAGAATTCATAGACAGACAAAGACACTACCAGATAAGGTCATAAATCTGTCATCTCCTAGATTTCACTTAATAGAAAGATATTATACGAAATTCTGTATATCTCTGTTATCTTTTTTTGTTGAATACACAATAAACAACTTCGAGAACAAAGCAATCTCAGAAGTTTATCACTTTTGGATGTTGTAAGTTTTCCTTTCATAAAACCAATATGAAACGCAATAGTATAGATCAACGCAGTTTTTGCATGTTCTACACAATGATATAGTAATGATGTTTATCATTAACTTCTCTCTTAGATATTATAGTGTCAAGTGAGTACGATATCGAACTCATGTGGGTCCTATATAATCGAAGAGAGCAGTTAATAAAAAAACATCATTAGTGTGTCATTTTATAGAGCATAAAAAATTGCGTCGATGTATTCTATTGTGTTTCATATTGGCTTTATCAAAGAAAAAATTATACGTACCATAACCATTAGCCTAAATACTCAAAAGTAATAGATCCCAAAGACTACTTAGTGGTTAAAACTTTTTTGTTTTTGTGTATTCAACAAAATAAATGGACAGAAATTTGCAACGTTCTTTATCTATGGAAAATATTTTCTATATCAATGTAATCTTTTAGTTCGAAATATCAAACTAGATATAATTCTAAGTGAAAATATGATGAATTGAAGTACACTTACAGCGGGAATATACATGAGATTCTGTTCCAGAATCATCTAATTTTATTGATACCTATGCTCTAATAATAATGACGATTATTTTTATTGTTTCGATTCATATTTTATGAAGTTAGTAAAAGTCTTTTTTTCTATTTGTTTATTTATATTAATGAGAATTATGCTTATTGATGTAATAGACAAATTCTGATTAAATTAAAGATCAATGATTTTTCTATATATATCTATATAAACTATAACATAATTTTTAATAACTATAAACTTTATCAATCTTTTCTGAAGAAAAATATCTTTGTTATTTACCTTTCAAATATATCTAATACATAATTTGATCCTTGATTATTATCCCAAAATTGTTGTGACATAGCTTGTAAACAAATAGCAAATAAAATTTTTTTTGGTTCTGTTATATCATCATTAGATTTTGTTAAAGTTATTTGAAATGTAAATGTATCGGTATTATCACATGGAAAATTCATTGAATGACATGCTTGAATATCTTTAAATGTTTTCCATTCATTTTGTGTTGTACGTATAAAAACAAGTTTATCATAAGTAAAATTATGTACACGTGCAGTACCATATGCTATTGAATCTTTTGTATATAAACATTCAAGCATAACTTGTTTTTCATAAATTAATGGTATAATATTTGTTGGTGATGCAAATTGTTTTGAAACAAGATTATATTTTTTTGTTGAAGATAATAATGATGATGATGATGATGTTGGATATTTATACATATTTATTTGATTTTTTCCAAGACGTAATTGTCCTAGTTGAAGACGTAAACATTCTTGCATAATTGGTGTTGATGATTGATCTGGAGGGCTCATATAACGAATAGATTCAAGATCCAGACCCTATGAAAAGTAAAACAAAAAAAAAAAAAACTTAATTGTATACGAATATTTCTGAAGAATTATAAAAGTTTAATTAAAATGTATCTTTACACGAATAATATGAATTTTGGATGATAATAGAAAAAATGAAATGAACTGTTAATAATAGTGCGAGTGCTATAAAAGTAAACAATCCAAGGTTACGTCGTAATCTAAAATCGATGTGACTAATTTTACTACGCGACGAATAGCATAGCAGTAGATCACGTTTTGTCCTGTTTTTTTTACATTCCTGTAAGTAGGGGGTGTTAGTGTTTGTTGATCGAACTACGTTTTTAAAATACTTTTAATAGTATGTCACATGTTGTTTTATTTTAATCAACTGACAAATTGTTTCAATGAAAGTTGAAATATGTTTCTTAATTTTGAAGAATGCAAATATATGTTTACGTGAATAATAAATGTATCGCTCTTCAATCGAAAATTCCAATTTTTTTTTAAAACCCTCCTATCAACCATTTGTGGTTCGTGACGACTTCAGTCAGTTTTATTTTACTGTTATAGACACATAACATGAGATCGAACTTCGTCGTTGTAGATATGCTTTAGGGACACTTAGTAGTATAGATGGATGTTCATTCGAGAGTAATTATCATTTCAGTATTTATTAAAAAATAGAATAAAAGTGCAGATGATAATGGATGAGGCAAAAGTTCTGCATTAATTTTGTTTTTGATGTAGAGCTGTAATGAAATCTCTACGAGATTTCATCTTTTTTTTTTATGTTAGAAAGAGTAAAGTGTCTAGTACAAAAATATACAAATGAATATCATTGAAAATGTTTGATAGAGACTACAGAAACTTTAGAATGGAAAGCATTGAAAAAAAATTCCGCAACTTTGGTGAGAATATTTTAGTCTGAAAACATTATGCGGTGTTTTCCAGAATTGTATATATATATATATAGTTGTTTATTAAAAAGAAGGCTTTCATGTTTGGTCTAGCATACAAGAGAATAAACAGAAGAGTATATTATTAAAAAATTTTATTTTGCGGATTTATGATTTCCAATACGAAAACAAATGTCTGATTAAATATTACACAGAAAATCAGTGTCCTATTTCAAATAATATCGTGCGATAGAGAACTCATCAAACTTTGATTTTTATATGAAATATATAATTTCTGATAATATTTCTATTCGAATAGAATTTATTTTTTCGACTGTAATCGAGAGTGATGAAAAATGCAGACATTAGGATAATATCATTAAAAAATTCGTTTCAACCATTATGAAAATACGAAGGGTTGTTTTTTTTGTGCTGTAAGACTGCACTACCCGTACCTTGTAAAACTCAGATTCGAAGAATAAAAATAAAAGCGGTCAGATTAAATGACATCTTTTCCAAGTTCAAAAAAAAGTTGTAGAATCGCTTTTCAATGCTTTCCATTCTAAAGTTTCTGTAGTCTCTATCAAACATTTTCAATGATATTCATTTGTATATTTTTGTACTAGACACTTTACGTCTTTCTAATAAACAAAAAAAAGATGAAATCTCTACGAGATTTCGTTACAACGCTACATCAAAAACAAAATTAATGCAGAATTTTTGCCCCATCCGTCAGCTAAGACGAGAATGATACTATTTCAATTCGATTTTTTCGATCAATTGATATAAAAAAAAATCAATTTCAAATAGTATTACCTCCATCCACCTGCGCATCTTATATTCTATACAACGCTGAAAAGCTGTTATGATGCTTGATGTTCAACCGTTGAACTTTCCCTGTTGTTCTTCATCGAAAATTGTAGGATTAGATTATTTTCTATCAAAAAAACTGTTAAATTCTTCTTCTTAACAGATGACGTGATCTTTTTAGCGTGAGTTGTTCTAGATCGAACAAGTGCAATACTGGAATATTGAATTCATTATAAGATGCTGGAAGGCTTTACAGCTACATTCTCAACTTTGTATAAGTTAATAGCTTGAACTCTTTTCTCAGGGTATTCCTAACTCATTATGGCCTACATGATGCACATAGTTTTGATTCAAAAACGATAAGACACCAGGAAACTTTTTCTTCGGGGGCTTCAAACATTATGAAAAGTCCTATTTAGAAATACGCATCCACCACATTGAGAATATTTTCATTTTCTCTCCAGTAAAAATTGTTCTTTCTATTAAAAAAAGAAGATTATAGAGCCGAAAGAAAATAATCTTGTATTCTAACAGCTTTTTTTTTCTACGTCAAATTTCTGCATGTGTTCATCTAAATATCGAAAGAACGTTTCAATCACATACCAGCATATCAGCAAACCGAACAGCTTTCTTCGGTGCTTTTTCTACTAAAGTTGTTTTTTCATCAAATTGAAGAATACTCAATGAATGTGATCGTACACTAAATCCACTTATTGGTTCATTTTCTTCATCATTATCTTGATCTTCTGTATAAGCTGAAAAAGGATCTTGTGAACATAATGTAAAAGTTGAATCATGTAAAAAATTATTATGTTGTTGTTTTACACGATTTGATGTTATTGTATCATCATTACTAAATTCATAATCATCATTAAATATTGTTGAATTAGAAGATAGTAGAATACAATCTTCTAATTTTTTAATACGTCCATCTTCAGGTGATTTATTAAGTAATGTAACTGTATCTAAAAACACATCAATTTGATAATTTTAAAATATATTTAAATGTATTATAACTTTTTGGTACGATTGAAATTTTAACTAATAAATTCTGTTCTTCTTGACAGATTTCAACAAATTGTTTTTATACGTTATTCCTCTTGGAGTGTTTATACTTTGTGAACCTTACACTATGAAAAAATTGTACTTTATAGAGCAATGTACTTAGAAAACGAACAATCGAAGTAAAGAAAGGAAATAGATAATGAAATGTTCTCTCTATTTTCATGATACGAATGATTGTATAACAAACACTTGATCATTTCCGTTTAGACAATAGTGAGCCGACAGAATACTACGTCGAGATGATCAAGGTTTTTTTGGTTACGGTGTTCATGAGTCGTAACTATAACTCACAGAAAGTGGTTTTAGTTTGTGAAGACTCATTTATATAAACCATATGTATTATCGATGAAGATCCCATATATATCGATTCTATGAGTAAAATTGACAAGAATGTATTAAAGCGAAATGAAAGAAAACAAAACTTATCTAATCAAGCGAATAATGAACAAACTTATTTGTAACTGGAAAGATATTGTCAGAGATTTAATACAATTGATTGCCAACAAAGATAGTTCTGTTAATCATGCAAAAAAGAAAATGCGACGGATCATACATCTGCTTTATTTCTTTTTTTTTTTTGGTTCAAAATATGCAGAATTTATGTACTTCACTTATTGAATATCAAATAACTGCAGATAATAACTGGATCTATGGAAAAAAAAATAGAGGCTTTCACTAGACATGAGTTGCAATCTTATATGATTGAATTCATTATCATATTGGAAAGTTATTCTACTCACACGACTAATATACGATAAAATGTTGAAAAACTTTTGCTGTATAACATAGACATAGAATATACATCTAAAAAAATTGTTTAGATTTACTTCTAATTTTTTTTTTGTCGTATTAATCGTACCAAAAAGTTGAAATTGATTTATTTATTTATTTACATACCAGATTCTTTTTTATTTAAAATATATTTATTATTTTCTTCATCATCATCATCATAATCATCATCATCATCATCTATTTGAGCAAATCCAATACAAAAATCTATATCTTCTTCTGATGATATATTTGAATTGAATATACTACAATGTGCTACTGGATCAGATAAACTCGATTCTAAACTAGCATCTGATCGTGATAATGAATCCACAACTGATGATGATGATGATGATATTGAATCATTTTCTGAACAATAACGTAAACGATGTTGTAATGAATATAAATTACTTGATGGTGATCTTTTAAGCATTGATAATGAATTAGATTTTGTTGAACTACCTGTTGAATTTTGTAAATAATGTATTACTTTATCATTACTTGATAAATAATCTCCATTTATATTATCATTGGATATTCGTTTTAAAGACATTGATAAAGTTCAAATCTAAAACTAAAAGATAAAAAATTAATGATGATGATGATGATGATCAATAAAAAGTGCCTGATTGGAAGAAGGAAGAATGAGAGAAAAAAAAAGAAGAAACAGAAAGCACATATGGGCCATGCACTCACAGCGAGTAAAAAATTTTTTACTCTACACTCTATGACCTCATATGCGAATCATTAACAACAAGTTGAACTGATTGTTTCGATGTGTTGATTCATATAGAATAATTTTATCGATGAGTAATGCTTGAAATTTGGTAGACATTGCATCATTTCGATATTATGGAATAAATATTTCGACATTATTATTACGTTATTTTGTACTGGTTATTAGTCACAACATCACGTTTTTTATTACACGTGCATAAAAATTGCTCGATAAGAACAGACAGAAAACAGTTTACGTTTCATGTGTAATTATAACAGCATAAAGGGTTAGAAAAAAACAGATGAATGAAAGTGTCTTACTATGCTTTCATTGATGTAGAAAAAAAGAAATAAACCATGCATATTTCAACATTCTTCTCACTAGTCTGCTTTTTCTTGATGACCTATCAATGAGTAAATGCTCTATGAATTAAGAAACGAGCATCTTTTCTTCCTTACATCTGTATGATAATTCTATCATTAACGTTCTACTGTTAAGTGTCTTATAAAAACAATCTGATTGAACATTTAAAAAAAAAAAGAACAAAATAATTTTATTTGTCTTTCAAAGTTGCTTTTTCATTAATGATCGAATTGACAAATATTTTATCAAAATAACTAAAATTTTTACTTCTCTATTGACATATTGGTATTGTTCTTTTTTCAGTCTACAGAAATTTGCGTTCTGTCCAAATAAAGGTTTTACATTTTTTGTAAATTTTCTCATGTGGAAGTTATGAATCAACCTCTTATAGAAGCTTGTAAATTAAGTTTGGATGGCATCCAGTACGTTAGAAGAATACTCAAAATAGAAGCAAAAACTTTTCATGAATGATTGTTTTGAAAAACTATTAATTCCATTATTCACTTTGTCGAGAACAATCTCGTCTTGAATTCTATAGCAAAAAAAAAATTTAGTAATACAACATAAAATTTCGTTCCTAATCCAATAGTTTCGAAGTTCTGTAGACTTGTTTTAAAGTGTTGAAAAATAAATTATTCTATTAATGTTTGTTTTTTCTAAAATTTGATCAGTTATTATAAAAACTTCGACAAAAAAAAACCTAGTCAAGCAAATGAAATTATATTCGGTACATACTAATTATGTAAAATAGGGCATAATAATCTTATTAGATTATCCAAAAAATTGTCTTATTTTATGATAAGAAAAAAGTTGCTTAGTACAATTCATACGGGATTAAAATATAGAACACGGATTGACTTGTATATAAATAAATTACAACTTAATCCTACTGTTACATTCTAATATATGAAAATATTTAATATCTTGAATTGTTTTCTATATATTTATAATATTTTTCAGATTATATTCTTCGTAATATGTTCCTATTGTCATAAGAAAAATATCTAGGACAGATCCAAAGATATTAAGCAAGTGACACTTAAAAGATCGATTTTTGCTGCCTCTCTTATAAACAGGTACTTAAAAACCTAATTATTAGCAATACAATTACATATCACTGTTCTTTTAGAATAATTTGTCTGTGTTCGATTATAATTTGTTTCGGTGTAATAAAGATGGTCTATTTGATATACTACTGTAAAAAACAATATTCTAAGCGATGTTCAGAGTTCTCGTGAAACTGAATGACTTTGTCAAATATTTTTTGAACTTCAAATAGAAAGAATAGTCTATTTTCTGCAAAACTGAACTCGGTTTCACTGTAGATCATATTCTTAAGAGACTTTTTCAGAAAAGGGATAGTCGACTGGATCTTTCAAGTACTATCCGACAGACTATTATTTGTAAAGGCAAAATATTTCCTCCCACAGAAAAAATAACTTATAGAAAAAAAGTGCGGAACATAAATGCAATTCATATCAGCACATTATAAAAACTTTCAGTTCTATTATTTTAAATTAAGGTAAATATATTTTTGTAGAGAATTGAATTATGCATCTTTCAAAAATTAAATTCAAGATTTTATCTTTTTTCTAAACTGAGATATATGAAAAACATCAAATGTCGCAAAACTTTTGATACATTCCTTATAATCGATTTCTTTCGTTTAAATTTTTGGAAATTGAAAAAATTTGTTCATTTTTCTAGATCTATAAATCTCTCATGGTACTAAAGTTTGAGATAAAATTTTGATCATTTTATTAGTTCATTGTAATTAATCACTGTTTAAAAATATTAGTATCAAAAAACTTCTACTTGATGAAAAAAATAGTATATAGTTGAGATTTATCGAACTTTTAATCTCAATCGTATATCGTGACATGTAAATGACCTCATTTCAAGTATTTTTAACGAATTATGCAAATCTTTCGTATTTCTACAGTTATTCGGTGTATATACGAAAGAGAAGAATTCATGCATTTTCATGGATTTTGAACGATTGAGAAAATTTTATTTGTATTCTTGTTTCATATAGTACAATCAAGCGCACTACTTACAGGGAGCTGCAAGTCCGATTTCGAGTTCACAAAAAATGCGAAGCCGCAGTTCCCTACTAAATTTATTTCGTTTATATAAAGGAATTCCGCATACATAAACTGCTGTTTGAGACTTCAAACGTATTGATATGTTCTATGATGAAATTTTGTGTCGTGATGTCTGTTGAGGAAGAGCCGAGGTATTGAGTACAAGTTTTTATTCTTATACTTCAATACTCTTTTCAGATGAAAGAAACATTGTCTTTATCACTCAAAAGTCTTTGATTGAATTCTTATTCGAGTTTCAAAATGTTCTTCTTAAGGATAAGAATTTTGTATTGAAACATGTAAAGAGAAAAACATTGACTTGTAATTACTCAACTCAAATGATACATGTGGCCAGGTCAATGGTTTCAGAAACAAGCGAATTTTGCTGGAATTATTCAGAGGAATGCAAGAGAAAAAATCATTGTATCTTACTGTGAAAGTTCAGAAATAGATGAAACTTCGAAGCGATATTCTGGACTACAATGTTCCTAATGACATCTGATGATTTCTTTTCGGAATGAATAGAAAATTAGCTGAAAATCATCGAAGTATTACTTCCGCGTTTCATCGATTTCTGGTATTGTTCTGTCGAAATCGACCTGTATGCATTCACATGAGTCAACACTAGAGATGTATGAAATCAAGTTTTTATTAGTTATAGTTCTAATCTCAATTGTTCTACTTTTTGTAGGTTTAATTCCGATCTAGAGTAAATACGATTTCAAAAATTTATTCCTACCAAATATAGAAAACAGTTTGTAATACACGGTCTTTTTATTAGTTCGGTTAATGAATATTGCCTTTTTTCCAATCTTCTCTGCTGAGAATGGTTTGTTTTATAGATATAATTTATAAAATGGTTCACTCAAAACAATAGATCATTAAAATATAATCTTTAGTTCAGATCATCTGCATCACAATTAATTTTGATCTTATTCATCTCTACTCACTACTGTTGACATTGAGATATAATTATATCTTTTCGTTCTCTATGCACAATATTTTGTAAAGACTAAATATAGCTCTTCTTTTCATCGAATATTATAAAAATTTTGATAAGAAAAGACTAAAAAAACTTTAATAATACATTAATAGAAAAATTTATTCTTTTGATCTGAATTAATGGATTTATATTATCTTGACAAAGTGTTTGTAAACGATAATTATAAGAATATTTTTAATTAGTCTAACAACATTCTTTTTTTTATTATTAAAATTATTATTGAGTGAAGAAAGCAATTATATGAAATAGATCTTATAGTCCTTTCAATTATTCTTATGATGATATTTAAATAAGAGAGAGAAAGTTATATTAAAAAGAAAAAAAAAAATACTCGACAAATTCAATGCTTAAGTTATTCTCGAGTTCACTTATTATAAATCAACAAAAAAAAAACGAATGAGAGATTATTTACAACAGTCGGACATCATTTAACTTCACATTTTGAATATATATATTCATGTGCTTTTGTGAATCTAACAAGTTTCCATTTTTAATCGACTTTATATCAATTTGTAGAACTCAATGAGTTGATCATGATCGAATAAAACTTTCTTTCCCGTAGATATTCTTTAAGAAATTAGCTCAGAAAAAAAAGAATTGTAAGCGGTTGTTTCGAAAATATTAATTTTCAGTATTGAAAATTTTAATTGATTGTACATATCTACACAATTAACATAAATAAAAGTTCTAACAATGTCTATGATTTGAGAAAACTATATGCAATTGTGATCAGCTTAACGAGTTCTATAAACTTCATTGAAAATGTCGACTCATATAGAGTAAAAACTTCAATCTTGAAGACTCATAAAATCAGTTGTTTTCTCCTCGACTCACACTTGTAGAACTATTCTCTTCTCCAAAATTTATTGATTGATGAATTATAGCTGTTTGAATACTCATTTGTACAAATTGAGTAATGTTAAATGACTTACCATGTACAACATAAAATATACATATATCTTTATAGAGAATCTTAGTAATGTCGTTAGTAATTTATGCTATGCTTCATTTAATATTTCTTTTTTCTAATATATGATACACCTGCGTTTTTTTTTTCTTTAAATGAAAAATTTTTATTAACCCTGTTATCGTTGATATATGTATATCTCATTATGTAATAATATTAAATATAACATAAGGTAATACGTAGAAGGACAGGTAGCGTAAAAAGATTGATACAATATGTTTAGTTCTTTTGACCATGGATTCTTTTTTTTTTTTTCTATCGAACAGAAATAAACATCTGTTACAGCCTATTGAGTGTTCTTAATATTAGGTTATAAACTGCAATATTTATTAATAATCATATTTCATAAAATTTTTCATTGATTGATTTTATGATATCAGATATAAGTAACTACTGATTCAGATCATCATAATCATAA